TGTCTGGGGCTTAACTGTCATCACTGATGTTAATGCTGACCTTATACGTCGATAAACTTAACATAAGTGATAACAGTTAAGTCTCAAAGAAGTTCTAACATCAGAAAGTAGTTTTTGTGAAAATCGCTGATAGCAGGTTTTGAGTATAAGCTCTCAACATGAAATATTCGTTTTGACTGTATTGAATTGAATATAATAAATCCATACGAATACAAAATATTAATAATCAGCAATATAAAAGCAGATCCACAGTAACTTCAACCGTATTTGCACTACTTTGAATATAATCTTAAGTCCCGTAAGTCGTGTTCGCATTGTCTTCATCTTCGAACTTGTGTATGACCTAGCCAAATTCGACTTTTCAAACAGATGGCAACCCTCCTAAGTATAGTTAAGAGATACTCAAATTTTTTGCATCTCATATTTAGTGTCATACTTATTTCAATTATCTGATGGTTAAGGTTGAACTAGATCTTTTTAAATACGTGGCAACCCTCCTAAATATAGGTCAGAAGTAAAGCTTTTTAAACCCATTTCATTTGATACCCATCTTTTAATAATTCTTTTAAGTTATTAATTTTAATATTTCATATAAATAGACTGCGGATATTTATGCAGAAAAGGAAACCTAAATATGTGCCCCATAATACATATAAACAAAATGTGAAAAATGTATATGTTTTGCTTATAGATAAGTGGTACATATTTTTAGGCCTTGTTTTCTAACTAACGCATACTTTAATTAAATTCGACTTTTCAAGCAAGTGGCAACCCTGCTCAAAATATTTTAAAACCAAAATCTTGTTAAACCTCTCCCGTCTTACACCCAGTTTTTTTCAAAGCCTCTCGATTGATATACATATTGTAGTAATAAATTTAACCTGTTCATAATATTTTCAAACTAAAACCTTATTTTAATTTTTTCGTCTGACACCCGTATAGTGGTACAGATTGAAATTATCTAACAGCTGAAAACTCCACTATACGCGCATAGTTTAGAAATGAAATTTCTTCAATTTAGAAATAAAGCCTTTTCAAAACCATTTCGATCGATATCCATTATGCTATAACTGATTTAACTTAATAAATAATTTCAATTTAATTTTTTAGTTTATTCTGATGATATGAGAATAACGCTAACGCGTATTATGCATACATATGTATGTATGTCTATTAGCGTGATCCAATTTTTAAATTATAACCAAAACACTCAACGTATCCCTTTCAGGTGTAGCGACACCGTAATAAAAGGAATGCGTCTCGATATTTGCAGATCAAAATTTCAGTTGGATGCGTCTGTATGGCCTTTTCAATTTTATAAATAATAATTAGGTGTTATCTCTGGGCAAAAAAATAAAATCTATAAAATAATCTTTATTTGTGATCAAAAAAAACTAATGTTTTTATTCATAAAAAATAAAGTAGCTTTAAAAAAGGTTTATAAACTAAAAAATTTATGAAAACGTCAATTTGTAAAGCTCTTTAAACCTACTTAATTTTTTATGAATAAAGCCATAAAAATTCAAATAATACTTATTACCGTTGAGTGAAAAAACAAAACTCGATACCAATTATTGTTTTTAAGGGAAAAAACAATAACCATAAAATTATGATTAAATGCTGATTTATATTATTTTACTTATTTATAAGGATTACGGCCGCTGTAATAAAGTTTATGCTATGCAATTACATGCATGCACATGTATGTAGGTATATCTGCCTACCTAAATATAGAAAGGGCCTATCTTACATCGTCGCCGAAATGCAAAAAAGCCGTAACTAACTTAAATCGTTTATTCCATAAAACGATGTGGGGTCTTATAATTCGATGAAATGCACCATAATCAATGAAAGAGTGGATTTTGGATTTTTAGTTAGTTGCGGTTTTTTGTATTTCGTTTGTAGCGATATGTACGCTTAAAAAAATATAATTTAAAAGTCTTCCATGCGACTGTTTGCAGGATTTAATCCTTTTGATTCCGCTAGAACTGGCCGCGTTGTGCAGCAGGTGGAGAAGTTTTGTTGAAATCAAATTTAGTCCATATCAAAATCTTCTCAAGTGCGAGCAGGTTTTCTAGTAAAATAGCCGCTGAATGCCGATTTTGTTTCAATTTCGAATTTTCTCGCAGGAGGATTCACAAGTCGTCACAAGGAATCGTATTGCCATAATGCCAGGAAATATATTCAAATTTAGGTCATGCCAATGCCACTGTCACGATACAATAAAATACGAGCTCGCAGTGTACAACTAATTTTCTAATATCTTTTAATAACTTTTATGATGTAAAGAAATGAGTTTTAGCTCCTCTTTAACAACCACTCCAAACGACATCGCATGTATGCATCGGCGTAGCCAGAATGAAATTTAGGGGGGGCTCGACCCTATTAAGCTGGCATTTCAGGGTACTATTTTATATATATATATAAGGAAAATTTGAGCACCCCCTGCCCTTACCTGGCTACGCCCATGCATGTATGTATGTAGTATGCACTCGTATATTTCGAAAATTTGTTTTATTTATAATATTGATTTAAAATTTTGATTATCATTAACTTAAACAGATTATTCCATTCCCTTTCATTGCAGGCTGCTATGCATGTGGACGATGAAACGCTCACTTCACAGCTCGGACATCCAAGCATGCCAGGCATGGGACCGCCACCTCATCACCAGACTCTTAATCTTAGCGATAAGCAGCGTGCCGAAATGCTTGACATTCCAATGAAGAAAGCGAAAGGCCTCGATGAGACATCTGCTTATCAGCTAGAATACCAGCGCTATCAATCCCTAATGTATGCGCACTGCGCGCAGCAACAACGCGTCGGTTCAATGTCTGCGTTCCGACCGTGGGCGCCAAAATCCTTCCTGCATCCAGCTGCAACATACAATGCAGTAGCGGCGTTCTCCACACTACCCTATCTAAGTCAAGAACCACCAGTGTTGCAAAACCCGGAAAGGGTAGTACGCAGCACAGATCGCGAACGCTTCGAACGCACCTACCAACCAAATGTAGCACTTGTGCCTCGCAAATGCATTTTGACTAAGGACAGAGAGAAGGAGCAGCGTGAATACAGGGAGCGGGAAAGAGAGCGAGAAGTGGAACGAATGCGGGAGCGGGAGCAGGAACGGAAACTTGAACGCTCCCGGGAACGTGAGCAGACTCGGGAACGGGAGCAACGGGAACTAGAAAGGGATCGAAGAGACCGGGAAATGCAACAACACCGGCAGCAGCATTTGTTGCAGCAACAAAACCTGCATCAACAACAACAAACGCTGCAAGAACATGCGGTGTTAACAAATTTGTGCGCAACTGAAGTGCAAATAAAGCAAGAGCGTGCCAATACACCAAACGAGATGCTCCAGTCGCCACCCCTTACGAATGTCAGCGGCGGCGGCGACGAGAACCCTACTGACCGGCGAAGCAACGGGCCGCTCGACGAAGACACCATATTGCCAATGATATCACCCATGTTGAAAATGAACCAGCAGCAACGAAAAATGCCAAGCAATAATAATAGTAGCAGCAATCATAGCAACAGCAACAGTAGTAGCAACCATAGCGATGTGGAGCAGCAGCAACAGCACCAAGTGCAGGAGCAACAGCAATCACAGTCGCGGCGACACTCACTCTATACCTCAAACTCCTCCGCTTGCTCAACATCATCGACGACATCGAATACACCGCCACAGCAACAATTACTGCCTGCGCATCTGCCTCCGTCGCAACAGTATCAACAACAACAACAGCATCAGAGACATATACAGCATTTGACGCTGCAACCACAGGCGACACGACTTCGACAATCGCCCCGAACGTACCCGCCTTCGCCGACAGACACACACAGCTCCGAGGAATTTTCGGGTTCGAATGAGATCACTTCATCCACTTCCCCCGCGCCCTGTAATGAAAATAAATGCATAAGTCGTGGCCATGCGCCACACCATAGTCTTAATCAGGAATCAAGCCGAGAGCAAAAAGGTCAGCCGCTCATCGCAACAGTGAATCAACATGCCAAACTTCTCCCGACGCCGATATCTGCAACATTGACTGCCAGCAACAACAACGAATTGCCAAGCCGAATTCGCATAAGCAAAAACCTTATCAATCGGGCGAATATAATTAGATCGCCTACACCTCCGCCACCACTACCTCTAACATCCACATTAGCCCAACTGCATCCGCAACAAGAGCAACACCACCATCCACAGCAGCAACAACCCCAGCTGCAAGCGTTGCAACATCACCAACAGCAGTATGAATATTTCAAGCAAAATCAGCGACTTATTGATCAGCAACGTCAACAGCACCATCACCACCACCAGCAACAACCTCTCTCATCAATACAACAGCCAAACCTCATTATGCGAACCCATCATTCGCAGCAAACGCAGCACTCACCCACGCCCGCACAGTCTTCCACCTCAACTGGACTGAACCTTAGCACCCACTCCACAAAAGCTACGATGTCATCGCACACAATGGATGCACAAAATCATCAGCCGCAACCTCAACAGCCGCCATCACACAACGGGATTCCATACATCGGCTCCGAATTTGAACTGTCGACCGACACAGACGATGACAGCGTGAGTGGGGAGGCGGATAGCAGCAATATTTTGGTACCTTGGGATATGGCTGTCGAAGCGTTACGAGACACAAGACCCAAAGAGCGAGAACGCGTTCTCAATTTTCTGCGGAAACTGTTACATGAAAATCAGCAAATGCGTTACAGCAATCTGCAACTCAGCGAAATGATCTACAAGCGTGATGCTATGATCAGAGACCTCCGAGATCAGCTGCAAACTTGCCGAAGACACATGCAGATGCTCAGCTTACATCAGGAGATGCCGGGACCAACGAATGGAGCGCATCGCAACGACAGTTTTCAGGATGAAGAAATTCAGAAATCATTATCATCAACGGAGGGTCGATACTTAGAGAACCATAGCCAAGCTAAGGTTGGTGCTGAAATCAATGGAAATGATGTTCACGCAAGGAATGTAGGTAACGCGACAGAGACCGATGGAAAGAAAAGCTGCAAGCAGTCAACAAATGGTCAGCTCACTGAAAGCGATGAGGAAGGCGATCGTAAAAGAAGCGAAGACGATAACGATAAAAGCAGTGATGCAGAAAGTGAAGACGATGTTGCCGACGATCGACGGAGCGATGTCGTTATGCAAGACAGTGTCACTAGCGCTAGAGGTAGTGGAAATCACTTAAACGAGAGTGATGCAATCTCACAACCTTTGGCAAAGCGGTCTAGGGTTGAAAGTGACAGTGAAAGCAGTTCCAGTTTGAATCAAGAGCCTAAGCCTGCGAGCCACGCAGGTCAGCAGACATCCCACAAAGTGCAGCATAATAATTCTTTCGATTCGGAAGATGAAACGCCATCGACACACACCGAAAGGAATACAGAAATGGATACGGGCGACGACTATTCGAATGCGGAAAATAAGGAGTACCCAGAGTTAAACGAAAATAATGATCTGAGCGAGGACGAAGAAGAGGCTACCCGCTTTACAGTCACAAAAGATAGCAGCAGTGATACATCTGACGAAGACGGCGATCAGAACTCGGAGCCCCTAAACCAAACACGTGTGGGCGAGACTGATGTACAGGCACCTCACAGTAGCGCATTGGCCACGCCACCAACCGCAACCACACCATTGTCACCACATTCTGCCGCAACTGCAGGACAGTTGTTCGATAGCAGCAATAGCAGTGACGAATCGTCCATGAAGAAAGCGCAAATGTCAGCATCCAATGCACTCGCCAAAATAACTGAAGCCGCCGATGATACCACGGAGCAGGTGGCAAATCAAAAAGAGAAGGTGAAGTTTGACGAAGTTGAAGACAGCTGCGACGAGGAGGAGGTAGAGGACGGAGATCAAGGCATCGGCAGCGTGGAAGTAGAACCCAGTGAAAATATTGGAAATAAATTCATCATCAATAAAGCTGAATACTGCTCGCGCAGGGGGCGACATATTATCAAAGCTAACTTACACTCGGGAAAATCACGTGAAACCCGCAAGGCACTCGATTGTGAAGATAACAAACTGAATGTTAACGTAAAAGCCAACAACACAGCTGGTGTCGAACAGCTAACCCGCGCACCACTGGCTACAAAGGCCAGTAAAAAACAAACGCCAACAACGAATGTCGAGTTACGGATCAAAGAGGAACTAATTTAACCGCTTCAAAGCGTCAAATGACACACTCGTCGTATTCATCGTGCCTACCATAGAACTCCTTGAACCAGAGAGCATGCGTAGCTGAAACGCCCAAGAGTACAGTCTATCTCATATATGTATGCACATGTGTATATATGTGCAGTAGGGCGGGACGATTTGTAGGGGCCCAAAAAAATTAACAGGGCCACATCGCGCTTATGATTATTTGGGCATTTCAAGCATTTTTGTCCAAGAAACCATAGGTCTAAAATGAATTTCGAGCCAACGATTTTTTCTATCTAGTTTTTTTTCAAAAAGTGGCTCATCTGTTGAAACAACTGTATTGAAAACTAGCCAAATGTGTATCAGGGGGTTTTTGGGGTCGAGGAATCCATTTCTGGCCTTAATTTTTTCTTTTGGGGGCCGCCAGAGGACGCTTCCGTATTTTTTTTTTAATTTCAACGCCCTTTTTCAGAAAATCGACAATATTGTTGCGAAAATCCACGAAATTTGACTTTCTCATAATGCAATTTAAATTTTTAAATAGCCGAAGATGTTCAGCGTTGAAAATTTTTTTTATTTTTATTTATTTAATTTTTTTTTTATTTTACATATTAAACACTGTATGAAAATGAAAACGCACAGTATGAAAACGAAAACGCATGCTGTCACACATGTAATTTGTCATACAATATGTCGATAAACAGTATTACCAACATAATATTAAAAAAAAAATACGTTATACGTATTTAAAAACTGAAACATTAGAAATTGTTTACATTTAATATGTTTTTATCTTTTAAGTAGAATTTTTGAACAAAGCAAATTATATTAAAATAAGAAAAAAATTTGTTTTGTAAAATTCAGAGAACAAATGAAAAAATTTATGAATTTGTTGTCCTAAATTGAATAAAATCGATATAAGTTGTGCATGAATATACCTCCCTTCCCCCTAATTATCATCGCTTAATATTTTAGGCTATTTAAAAATTGAAATTGCATTATGAGAAAGTCAAATTTCGTGGATTTTCGCAAAAATGTTGTCGATTTTCGGAAAAAAGGCGTTAAAATCCAAAAAAAAAAGTATGGAAGCGGCCTCTGGCGGCCCTCAAAAGAAAAAATTAATGCCAGAAATGGATTCCTCGACCTCCAAAAACCCCAGATACACATTTTGGCTAGTTTTCAATACAGCTGTTTCAACAGGTGAGCCACTTTTTGGAAAAAAAACTAGATAGAAAAAATCGCTAGCTCGAAATTCATTTTAGACCTATAGTTTCTTGTGCAAAAATGCTTGAAATAACCCAAATAACCATAATCGCGATGTGCCTTTGATGCAAACAGTTTGACCCGCCCTAATGTGCAGGCATACGTATTTACATACATACATACATGCGTACGTAAACTGGTCCCATGGCATCGGTTTTCCTTAGTTCGTAATTTCTCTAAGCCCTTTCCCCTCCTAATCTACTAGGACCCCTTCGTATGCTTACGCTGTAGACTTTTTACGAAAGCTGCTATAATGCTTTTAAAGCTTACAACAAGAACGCAAATTAAGTAAAAGTACATGATTTTAAAAATTTTGTATTGACTTACACTAGGTTGTAGGTTTATACAGAAAGCACCACAAAACCAAAAATTTTGAACATATTTCCATCGCACGAGCAGAAAAGGCATACATACATTGGTCATTATTTTACAAATCGTACACCTTTTTTGACTTCAGAATTTAAATACGGCTAAAACTTTTGTTACATATTTGTTATATGCACTACACGCGTTGAAATATTATACCTGTGTCAGTTTACATATAGTCGAAAAAAATTTATTTTCAGAGATATGAAGGTTTAAAGTTTGCATGATTTATTATTATTTACCGAACTTTTCCATGTCCAAAATTCAATAGGGCTGTTCAGGATCTTGTACATATGCTCTTGCATTTGTAAATTCACAACTTGTGGCAGCAAGCGTAAAATTTTCAAATGCAATTCCAACTGCAAATCCTAGACCATTTCCTCAACATCCTGAACTGCGGTATTCAAACTGTTTGTAAATGCAGAGTTGCGACACATTGCAACCACATACATTGCATATTTTAAATATTCAATATAGCAATGAACAATTTTTCTGAATTTTCCATTTTTAAAACACCAATGGTAACCAAAAACAAACGAAGCATCAACTTTGTTTCTGATGCGCTGATTGCTTTAACGATGCGTTTCGATAACTTTTCGAATGCGTTTTGGAAAAGTATACATTGTCAACATTTTGTAGTTCGGCGTTATGGGACATTATACTTTGTAGGTATGCAAAGTAATTGGCGTTTTGGAAGTCAGCCTATGTTAAGTTGTACTTAATGAGATAAATTTATGTACTCATAAGTTAGCGGCGCCACGCCCATTTTCCAAAATTCCATAATAATCTAATTTATTTTTAAGAGACTGTTTTGAGAACCAACTTTGAGTAAATTAGCGTCCTTAAATTTCATAATATTGAAGTTTCCGTATTTGTGAAATTTACCGTTATATAAAAGGTGAGCGTAATTTCATTGCGATTTGAAACATTTTCAACATCTTCAACTTTTTGTGCCAAGTACAATGATTATACTGAGTTTGGTAGGAATTGATAAAACAGTTACCGAGATACACATATATAATCATAAAAGTGATCTTACACGATATGGATTTGCATATGTAAATGTGACTTTAGATACATATGTAATTGCAGCTGTGTGTCAAATTTACAGTCTTTATTGAACTATTTAAAAATACGTTCTTTGAAAACGTAATAAACCAAACCTAGATGAAAAAAGAAACATTTATATTTCGTATGTATATGCATCTGCTTTGTACAGAAGCAAATCTAATTTGTCTTTACACGATATGTTTGCATTTTCATATGTAAAAAGTGGCATGTATACATACATGCAAATAAATATCGTGTAAAAACACCTTAAGTGAGCGGCTTTAGGCCCATTTTCCAAAAATTTTAAATTTTCTTATTTTTTGTTAAGAGATCAATGCTCTCTTCAATTTTGAGAGAATAAGCTTTAGTAATTACTAAAGTATCGCGGTTTATGTATTTCTGCAAACTAGCGTTAAATGAGAGGTGGACGTGGGTTTTGTCCGATTTTGGCCATTTTCCATACCATCCGTCCTTGGCCCAAAAGAAATATACTTACCAAGTGCCGTTAAGATATCTCAATTTTTACTCGAGCTATGGTGCGCATAGACAGACGGACGGACAGACAGACATGTCTTAATCGATTTATCTTTTCATTGTTGTCATTCTGGAATAATATGTATGTACATACATATTTATATATCTTTATCTACCGCGTTCCTTTAAGGTGTTACACTAGTGCACGAGCGGGTATACAAAAATTGGTACGAACGATATCAGTATTAGAACCAAAGATATTGAATTTTAATTATGCCAAAATTCGTAAATAATCGTAAATCGTCCAAACTCAAAACATCCACATCTTGGGAAAAAAGTGTTTTAATGAATTCTCGACTACATTTCCCAAAAAGTAAACAAAACATGTTTGCGTCTGTTAAAAGGTGATTGTTTTTTTTCAATCCATCCGATTTGTAAAATAATGGCCCTAATGCATTCGTACATAGATATACATATGCATGCACTCAAAATATTTCTTAAATAACGTGCATACGATTATGCATTAAAAATTAAATTTATTTATTATTTATGTATTTTTATAACAGAGCATAACTTCGAAAGTACAAGTAGGATATATGTATGCCTATCAATTTTGCCTCAAATTATGACAGTTCTGATTTTTTTTAATAAAAAGTGTCCACCCACCATAAAGACTATTTGTATGCGGTATTTCTTTTAGAGACATATATTTATTTGGAAGATCTTTTAGATCATAGCCAAAAATTTGTTTTATAATTTCTGTATTTCGATTAACAACAATTGTTGTTTATGGATATTTGGTTTTTCGATCACATTTGTCTGTTATTTACAATTTAATTTGTATTTTTTCTATAATTTGTAATCGTTACAATTGAGATTAAATTTTTACAATCATACATATTTACTTGCATTTTTTGACCACTTTGAATCCTTTAACCCCAAGAAGGAATTCAGGGATTTACTCAAAAGCCAGATTGACGTATGGGGTATGCCTTGCTGCATATATATGTAAAAAATCGATAGTCAGATTTACTGGAGCGCATCGGATTAGAGTATGGTGGGTAAAAGCATAAACAGACGGCAACGTTGATCCGGATTAACGGCGCAATTGATCTGATCAAAATGTACCTTGACAGACGGCAGTAATGCGGATTTACTGCGTAGGTTCGAATTCCACGGCTTGTACAATATTCATTTAATTTCTTTTTATTCATTCAATAATAAATTCTATATTTTAAAGTTGTTTTTAGTTAAGTAGTTTTCTTTGACTCTTTTAGTAAAATTAAACTCTAAAAATTTAAATTAAGTGATAATAAAATAAAAAATAACATAAGACAAACGAAAATAAAATAAAGTAAAATTAAATATATTAATCAAATATTAAAAAAATTCAAGTAACAATAAAAACAAAATTTTTTGGTAATCGCTCCAACCGAGGATCGAACCTGTGGCATGCAGGCTTGTAGTACGCAGCCCTCACCACTCGGCTACCGCGATGGATTTAGTTGACTGCTTTGTTTGCGTATTTGTTTGCTCCGAGAGCGTAGAATGCGAAGAAAATTCAAAACTAGCAGGAACCGTATTAATTCAAATAAGGTCTTATTCAATTTCAGTGGGATTCCTATCTGAATTAGTATGGTGACTGCATACCGATGAAAAGTTATATGTCCATGCTAGTTTTGTCCTTTTTCTGTTTTGTACGCTCTCTGAAATTCGGTCAGTGTTGTCATCGAATATTCCATTGATCTGAGTTAAGTTTGGTAAAAGCTTAAACAGACGGCAGCGTTGATGCGGATCAACTCGTTAATTCCGAATTATCTCGGGAACTAACTGCAGTTGATCCGGATTAAGTCCAAGAATTAATTCCCAAACTTAACTCGGATCAAGGGAATACTCGATGACAACACTGACGAAAACTCAGAGAGCGTAGAATACAGAGAAAGTACAAAACTAGCATGGACCTTTTCATCGATAATGCAGTCACTATACTAATTCAGATAGGAATCCAATTAAAATTGAATAAGAACGTCCACGCTAAGTAATTTTGCTTTTTCTTTGTGTTCTACGCTCCCTGAGCAAACAAATACGCAACCAAAGCAGCTAACTGCTTCATCCGCGGTAGTCGAGTGGTGAGGGCTGCGTACTACATGCCTGCAGGCCCCAGGTTCGATCCTCGGTTGGAGCGATTGCCAAACAAATTTTGCTTTTATTGTTACTCTAACGTTTTATATTTTTTTTTTTTAATTTTGATTTATATATTTAATTTTACTTCATTTTATTTTCGTTTGTTTTATTTTATTTAAGCTTTTTTTGTTATTATTAGTTCAATCAAATTTTTAGAGTTTAATTTTATTAAAAAATCAAAAACAACTAATTAAAAACAACTTTAAAAAAATTTAGAAGTTATAATTGAATGATTAAAAATAAATTAAATGAATATTCTACTGGCCGTGGGATTCAAACCTACGACCTTGCGGCCCATAAATCCACATTACTACCATCTGTCAAGGCACAATTTTGATCAGATCAATTGCGGCGTTAATCCGGATCAACGTTGCCGTCTGTCTATGCTTTAATTAACTCTACGACTTAATCCGTATCAACTACA